AAAAAAAAAAACGTCAGTGAAATTGTCTTACCGGAGTAGAGCTCGGATCGGTGTAGCGCCACTTTTGTGCCTTGACATTAATCCCGGTGGTGCGCGTGCGCAGAACGTAGAAACTTTTCCGCTTTACGTCACACAGATCGTGTGTTGGGCAGATGACTCACTACGTCACCGGTTTTGGTTTGTTTCACGTGACGTAACCACGCCGGTTAAGGGTCGTTATGAGTAGTGTTTACCTTTATATTTAAAATATCGATTGATATTGATCCAGCTGTCCTTTAAAGACACATCCGGGTCCTGTTTGTTTTGGATGAATATTCGCTGACCTGTCACTTGTGGGAACCTTTCTTCACAGCAGCCATTTTGAACTTTCAGGATGAGAGACTGAACAAAGCAAACTGATTACTACTTTGTATGTAAAATGATTTGTTAGTGTTGTTTTTATTCGTGAATGACATGACATGTTTATACCTTTTATTGACCTTTAATGCTCACAAATAACAAACCCGTGATGTGGTTACAAGGACCCTTCACTGCTAGCAGACATATTCTCAGTTCTGAGTCAAATGAGCTCCACACTTTAATAATTTGGGTTGTTTTCTGCATTTTACACGGTGCAGAGGAACACAAACAGAAAACAAAGGTTGATTAACCATCATGTGATCTGGTTAAAGATGTATCATGTACCTGCAAAGCCTTTATAGTTTATTTTCCCAGCATGCTGCAGGGATTCTACTTTTTGCACACAAACTGCATCAACACTTACTAATATTTAAACTTTGTAAGTTTTAAAAGTGTGCTGATTGTTTGTTCTATCGTGCAGATATTAGAATACACCAATAAATAAATGTCTGAAAAGTGAGAATAAAACACATGAAATTACACAGCATGTGCTGTAAATGTAAAAGTATTACTGTACCTAAGTACAAGTTTGAGGTACTTGTACTTTACTTAGGTATTTCTATTTTATGCTACCTTATACTTCTACAACATTTCAAAGGTAAATATTGTACTTTTACTTTGCAGATTCAGTTCACTAACACAAAATATAATTAACAAATAAATGATTCTTTAGATTAAGATAAAACATTAAAGTGAAATAAACGCATTAATGCATCAATAATTAAAATGCAATAATATAATATATATTATTCTGAAATGGGCCATTCTGCACAATGAGTGTTTTTACTCTTGGTACTTTAAATATATTTTGATGCGAATACTAACAGAGTATTAATACACTGTAGTATTGCTACGTTTACTTAAGTAAAATATCAGAATACTTCTTCAACTGTGTTAATACACAGTTAACTACGAAAACACAGGTATGCTCCTTTAAGTTTGCATAAACACGGAGACATTACAGGAGCCTGAAATAGAAGCAGAGTGAGACCTCGCACGTTTATCAGCCTCTCTATTTGTATTTCTTGATATGTTATGTTTTTTTTCTTCGCCGCGCAGGCGCACAAGGAGCAATCAGGCGCGTTGCATGGTTGGCAATTAAATTGCTCCATTAAGCCGATTTTAACCTGATCGATACGCAACACGTCTCCCGTGTGAACTGACTCCAGATCCGCTGGCTAACGATACACTTGATGTCATATATATAAATAAATATATATTTATTTTTTAAACAAGCTGCATTGAGGTAGACACAGAGCTCTGGACCAATCAGGAGGGAGGATCCGGGTTGAGGGAGTTCACGTGCTGAGTTCTGTCGGTGCAAACATCCGGGACATGAAGGAGAAACCAACAAACTGCACCGACAGTAAACTAAATAATACAAAACAAGAGTGTTTAAAAAGCATCATTATGAGACGCCCCTGCAGGAGAAGCTAAAATATATATTTATGATCAATAATCACTAATTATGAATCAAGAGGAAGTGAATCAGAGGGAACATCTGAGCATAATATAATAATATATAATAATGAATATAATATAAATGCAATAAAATGCAACATCATAAGAAGTCCCTGCAGGAGAAGGAGGATGTCAAAGATAAAGAATATATTTTGGATCAATAATCAAGAGGAAGTGAATCAGAGGGCTTTTAATATGGCGGATCAGGTGCGTTCAAGGTGCACCACACATCAGTTTCATCTCTACAGACACACAAACACGTCCGTGAACTCACCAGATTGAAGGACGAGGATCTATTTATTTATTTATTATTAAAGAAATAAATAAAATCAATCCGGTAAAGGGAACACAGCCGGGTTGCCAGATCTTCTGCAAACAAGTCGGAGATTTCCACTTTCAGACCGTCAGAGAAAAACAAATTAAACTAAAAATATGTGTTTAAATAAATAAATAATAGGACTCTGGTGGATCCAGGTTTGAGAGGAAACGCAGACTGATCATGTATTACCTTCATCTTAATGGAACTAGTGTGTGTGTGTGTGTGTGTGTGTGTGTGAAACTTGTTGCATAAGTATCACAACAGAGTTCAATAATAGAGATTAAAGTTCCATTGTTGTGAAATAATAATAGATTTTTGCTCAGACTACACATTGATTTGTAAAGTCTGCACTATCATAATGATAATATAACTTTAAACATTAAAAAAGAAGTCAGCGGCAGATGCAACATTCACAGATTCGTCCAATTTGGTAATAAATGGCAACAAATCGCTGCATGAAAACTAGGAAAAACTGTACGACAGTTTTTCTCAAAATTATACACAGAAAAAAAATTCAACTATGCACTTAATTCTGAAAATGATCACACTGATATGAAATTTCAGGCGCAGCAAAAGACTCCAGACTGAAAAACACAATTTATTTTGTTTTCACTCAAATAGAAATTGTAAACCAACAAAGACTGAAATCTTTAGGATTGACACTTTAAAGTTAAACACTCTGATTGTTCTGATCACAAAAACCAGCCGTCACTTAAATAAACAGATTTAAACCAGACACAATAAGAAGCCAGAGGAGCTGAATGTGAAGATGCTGCTGTTTATTTAGAAGATATTCTGAATAAAATAGAAAAGAAAAGCTGTATTTGTATCATGCACCTTTAGCAGTTCTTCTTAAAACATGTTGCATGTTGAGATCTATGGATTAAAAGCATTGATGTGGTTTCACTGTTTATTCCTTCACAGTAAAAGCGTTGAGGACATTAAGGCAGCGTGGAGAGGCCTCAACAAGTTCACAGAGTTTCTGACTAAACAGCATTCCTTTTAAAGACCTTATCTCCGTCTTCCCTAGTTCATACGCAAATATCACTAAAAAAGTCGAGGCGCGTCCTCACATAATTTGGGTTTTTGAAACCAATGAACAAGATTGTCAGAGTGTAAAAATGTCTGAACTCCAAAAAACCCCAAAACTTTAACTAGCAGCCCTAAAAACATTCTCACTGTACACACAAATATAACTTAACCGTCTCCAACAGACACACGTCATCAGATGACGCCTTACAACTGTATATATGTATATTTATAGTACGTGAATATTTACAGACCGGAAAATATAAACAGCAACTCTGTGCGTGAGGAGGCAAAGAAAGGAACTTCTCTTCATTCATTAAAACACTCAACACGTCGTCATTGTGGAAAAGTGATGTGTTGTTGAGTCAGTGTTTGAATTTTGACCGATGTGACGGAAATTAGTCGAAAATTGGAAAACTGGAAAAAGATGCGATAATATTTAGATTGGCGAGTAACTCGGACACAAAAATGGGTTTAAATTTACACAAAAACTGATTTATCGTCAGCGGAGCAGAAAAACACGTCACAGCTTTTAGGAAAGTTCACAGGTTCTGACTGACTTTCTTCCACCACTGATACACGTTAGTGAACCGACACAAGTCCATCATAAAGTAACATGGTGACAAAAAAAAAAAAAAAACGAGTTTCAACTTGGTCCATGAAAAAAAAAAGAAAAGGCTAAAAATAGACAAAAGAATCTCCTCTTTATGCACCCGAAAAACCTTCTTTAGTTAATCTACACACACGACGAGCTAGATGTGCAAACACAAGCGTCTGTCACATCCACGCTGGAGGGAGGTGGAGAAAGGCACGACCCACCAGGGGCTTGTTTTTTGGAAGTTGCTCCAAAAGAGAAAGAGAAAGAGAGTTCTGTGATCCGTTCAACCTGGAGTCTACGGGAAAGTGTAAATCGTCGTCTCCACATCCTCAAGATTCACGCTGCAGAAACAGTTTAACAGGATTCATCAAGTCCAGGATTTGACGATGACGAGGATCCAACAGACTCTTCCTCTCTTAGAGGACGAGGAGCTGTGTGTGTGTGTGTGTGTGTGTGTGTGTGTGTGTGTGTGTGTGTGTGTGTGTTTCCTTCCACCTGATCAC